TTTTTTTTTTGCATTGGGAGAAGACACCCAGATCATGATTATTGCAGGTTGCAGCAGAGAAATCTGGATAAGAAAAATCTATAGGAATTATGTAGCTTTAGAGGTCATCATTCATTCCTGTATGTGTTTTTTGTGCAGAGAGAGCATCATTCTAGTCGTATAATATCATGTAATGCTACGAGGATATATGATGGTGTCCTGGGAAGCAAAATAGGGAGAGTTGATTTAGAGATGATCATTTTCAGATATGATAGCTTTAAAATTGTGGTTGATTGCAGCAAATGTATTTGGTAAGCCAAAAACAAACACAGACTACTTGCCATACAATGGGGATGGGTTCAAGCTGTCAATTCCATCAAAATGGAACCCAAGCAAAGAGGTTGAGTACCCAGGTCAAGTCCTGAGATACGAGGATAACTTCGACTCTAACAGCAATGTTACTGTCATGGTCACTTCAACTGACAAGAAGTCCATAACTGACTTCGGTTCCCCTGAGCAATTCCTCGCAAATGTACATATCCAGAATTGAACCTTTCAACAACTAAGAATATACTAATGTTTGCTGATTAATTTGCTTCTCATGGATCATTGCAGGTGGACTATCTGCTTGGCAAACAAACATACGCTGGTGTAACTGATGCTGAGGTAATTCACTAACATATCAAAAGTGGACAGTTTAACATAGACGGATCCGCTTTTTGGGAACCATTACCTCCTCCTCATATACTTGATGTTTTGTGTCCCTCATTTCCTGTCTCTTTTTTAATGTATACTTACATACTTGAATTGGTCAGGGTGGTTTTGAATCCAACGCCGTGGCAACCGCAAACATATTGGAGAGTTCAACTCCTGTCATTGGTGGGACACAGTACTACAACCTGTCCGTGCTGACAAGAACTGCTGATGGAGATGAAGGTGGCAAGCACCAATTAATTACGGCTACTGTAAAGAATGGCAAGCTATACATTTGCAAGGCACAAGCTGGAGACAAGAGGTGGTTTAAGGGAGCTAGAAAGTTTGTGGAGAGCACTGCGAGTTCCTTCAGCGTCGCTTAAAAACTACTTAAGCAGAAATTTTATGTAAATCTTCTTAGCAGCTATGATGTTTGGCTTTGAGTTTGTTCTATCATCCACTCCCTCCAAGGCTTCTCTTTTCTATTTTTGTCTTTCTGGGGAAACTTGTGGATATCTTAATATTTCTTGTCACATAAATTAAGAATGAACCCTTCTGCTATATTACCTCTCTATCCCTCCCCTTGAAATCAAAACCATCTCAGGTGTGAAGATAGTCGAATCTTATGCATGGAAAATGAGCCTTCTCCCCAAGTGAGACGCTCAAGACAGAGAAGCTATGTTGCTAAAGACCCTTCAGAATTCTGTTCTCTCATCTCAAATCTAATAATATATGTATTAGCATCACATGCCAACGACTGGTAATACACCATGAGAATGAAGGTTAAGACCAGAAAAGAAATGCACTGTCAGGTACTAAGCTACATTATCAAAGAGCAAGCATGCTTCAAATTTTCATCATAACTGTAATCAAATTAATTAAATGTTAAAAGAGAAAATAGCAAATTTATTATCAGAAAGTCGCTGCATTGTTGACAATCTTTTTTTGTTATGAATGTCAGCTTTCAACAAGATAAAGTATTTACATGAAACCAATCATATCAGGTATCAATGACTGCAGGCTGCATGCATTCAATCTCTCAAGTTCCTCCATTACAATAATGGATGCCGTTACTGTGAGTGTCTTTGAGCTTCGTGCTTAGATTATTTAAGCCCCATATCCGGATGGTACGATCATCACTAGCTGATGCCAACATGTGAGGGTTTGCTGGATTCCAGCTTACACAATTGACAGCTCCGGAGTGACCTGGTAATGCCTCTATAAGCTCCCCCGTGCCCCTATGCCATATATAGACCTAAACAAACAGGAAAAAGAAATTAATTGCAGTCACTTTAGCTTCAGAAATAAGTAACATTTTTAATGAATTTACATTTACAAAACGCGTATGCATAATGTCATAGAGTTTAATTAGTATTTCAGCGCTATACTTATGACAGAAATAGACTAGAGTCCAACGATGAAGCCATAAACATCTAGGAATAAACCAAGACCTATTGTCTGGACTGAAGTGTTTGGCACTAAGTTCAGGCAGCCTAAAAATTATCATTAATTTGGCCAAAATCTGCAATGTCACCATGTGTGCACTGCTGCATGCAGTCGTGGAAATTCTTGGTATATATGAGGAAGTCCATGAGGGTAGAACGAGAGAGAGGCTAACCCTTGAACCTTAACCATCCTAAGGATAAGAAGCAACTACCAGGCGAAACCTAGGTTGTTCAGAAATAAATATTCTAGAAATGATAAAGCAACTGGACTGTATAATGACAAGACATAAAGCATGCAGATGGAAAATGTTTATGCTAGCATATGCATAGTTGATATCTTTTAAGCCATCAGTGACAAATATCTTATAGCATTTTCTGTGAGATAAAGACATTATAGAGAACAAAACAACTTCTAAGGTGAAGGATGACCAAAAAGAGACATTAATCAGTTTCTTGACTGGGCAAGTATTGTGAAAACACAGGAAAGTAAAAGAAATCTAGTTGCTCTGATCTACATGACAATATCACCTACGCAAGCATGTGACTGCACATACTGATGAACATGAAATGCAATGTGACTCTCTCTGATAAAGCAATAACTACCTATACTTGCTTGAGATCTAGAAGCCTCCATAAAACTGCAGTCTCTTACTATACTATATCGCTCACTCAAATGACACATTTATGCACAGATGGATCCCATATATAATATAAGACAACAGTAATTCTAATACGAGAACACTGCTTTCCATGCTAATCATAGGCTAACTTACAGCTAAAGATTGATATAGAACAAATTAGAGGTCTGTACCAGTGAGTCCTCACTACCGCTGGCAATAAATGCTTGCTCAAGTCCACCAAAACAAGACCTGATGATGAAGCGGGTGCGTTTATGGCCTCTATATTTAGAAACAAGCTTCAAATCACCTTCTATGTTCCATAGATGGATTTCTTGGTTTAAAAGATTTACCAGCAAGAATCTATTGTCTCTTGATAATGAGAACGAAATTATTGTTTGATCCTCTTCAATTAACCTCTCAACTTTAGCTTCCCTGTCAAGTAATAAAATTGCTGTTTCCCTACATATACTAATAATCTGCTTCCCATCACTTGTTATTTCCAAATCAGAAATTTTTAGAGTACGTTGCCCTTTCCAGCACTCTAGCTCTTTCCCCTCCAATTCCCACATGCAGATGCTCTTATCATTCACACCAGAGAATATCCATTTGCCATCTGGAGACCAGCCACATGAAACCATGCCAAGACCAGCTTTTTCATAAACATTGAGGCATTCACCAGAAGAGACATCCCAGCGTCTTACAACCTCCTCTACACCACAAGTGAGAAGCTGATGGTCATCAGGACTCCATGAAACAGAAGAGATAGGTTTCTGGTGACCAGAGAGTATATGTTTTAAAGATACTCCATTTGCATCAACCTACAATAAGTCAAAATATTAGAATGAGAAAATTGACTGATTGCTAGGCTTTTGAGTCAGCAAAAAGATAATTGATTCACAGTGATCTAAGCATTGATACACATCAGTATAACCCTCGTATGCATGAAATTAAATTCCAGCCAAGCGAACCTCTTAATATCACAAAAACCCTTGCATAATTGTATAAAACATTAAAAAGAAAAAAAGTGAAGGCTCTGGCTTTCAAAAATGCTTAAAACTTGCCAAACTTACAAATTACAGAGAAAAGGATTTAAATCAAATGCAGTGCATAAAGGATGAAAATGAAAAATAGTGATTGTTACTGAGAACACCATTGAAGTTAGATCGAGGAGCTCTTTCCATAAGTTCCTTAAATTTGGATACCACTAAAACCTTGGCAGGGCTTAATAATTCAAAAGAAAATAAAATTATGCCTTCCATTGACAGATTGAAGAAAGCAAGCTAAGGAAGTCTTTGAAGAAGATGAAGAGTGGAAAAGCATTTTGACCAGATGGCATCCAGACAAATGTGTGGGAATGTATAGAAGACCAATATATTCGCTTACAAACTTCATCACTTGTCCAAGGCATACTAGATGAGTGGAGAAAGACCACTCTTTCTTTTTCTTTTTTTTTTCAAGGAGGGAAAAAAAACTTGCATACATATAAGAAAAAGGAGAACATCCTAATACAAAAGGAATCAAATTGATAAGTCATGATGAAATTGTGAGAAAGGGTGGAAACAGAAGTTAAGAAATGAGACAAGCATTTTTTTAAAACCAATTTGATTTTATCTTGGGTAGCATGACTATTAAAATTATTTATCTATTTTTGGGGGCTGTACTACAGAGATTGCATCTCGGCTATAACTTTTTGACCTTTCCCCTCTCTTCTAATATTGGTAATCCCAGCTTTGAAGCTTTTCTTTCTTGTTTATTTGATTCTTAACTCTCACCTCATTTTCGTATTAGCAATTTTCACACTGACTTCTATGGACATCATTCACATTATCAGCATGAGAAAATGATGATTTTTGAGCGAACAAAACAACCAAACCACACTCAGCCAGTAACCTCATTGTGGTCAACTCCATAATTCCTGCCCTAAATCATCACAGAAAGTATCTATTTTCTCAAATCGCAACAACATGCCTCTTTTGAATTTTGTTTAAAGAAACCCATGCTATAAGTCTGTTTGGTAATAAATTGATATATTGTGGTTTCTTAGAAGCACTTTGTAATTCCATCAAAAGAAAAAAAAAAAAAAAGACACTTGTCATCAACAGCATTACAATTTGACAGATTTGTTCAAAACATTAAGAAACTATAATGATGAGAAACTAGAAGCTCTTCTAAAATAAAGAAATAGGTTAGCATATTCAGGAAATGAAAAGGGGAAAAAATTCCTGAGAAGGATAATACTAGACATGAAGATGCATGTCCCTCTAAATTTTTCCTTTGAAGTGTAAGAGAACCCTTTTTATAATGTTTTCCATCTTAGAGGTTCATTTAAGAATATTGTTACATAATTCTATCCAAATTCTTACAATAGTCTTTTCTTGAAACAAAAACCAATATTTACAATGCTTGCAAACTTTCATTATCAAACTTCTTTATTCGTAGCCCCCCTCCCCCAATTATAAAAAAAAAAACTTCTTTATTCCTAGCATCTAGGAATATTTTCACTGAGGTTTCACTTGATTGTTGCCTTTACTATTTGTTATTTGTTATTTGCTTTTCACCTCCCTAAAACTTGCTAAAAAAAAAACAAAAGAAATGAGGGAAAAGCAAAATCATATTTGATTAAAATGAATGAAGAGCTAAAATAAGCCACACATTCAGACAAAATTCTCCTCTATCTAAAAATAAAATCCTGCATTTTGTTATACACAAAAGTTAAATTTTTAGTTTTTAAAAAATACTATCTACTTTCATATCAAATTAATACATTATAGGTATAAGGGGTTATCCTAGACAATATCAACATTATATGTTATATCCATGTTCCAAGTGAATAACAGTACCTCCCAAATGATCGTCGACCGATCATTGGATGATGAAGCTAAGTATTTCCCATTATGTGAAAATTGCAAGAACCATACTTCATCAGTGTGAGCCTGTAGTATCTGTTGCAAGAGAATGACAAAAAAGTATGTAAAAAAGAATTTGCAATAACAATTCAAGAAAAGATAATGCAAGCCACAAGTAGAAAAAATTTCAGACAATGAATAAACAAACATAAAATATAATCAAGAGTCAACAAATATTCCAGTGAGAGGACACTAAATTCACTTGAATGCATAACAAATAATTCAATCTTTTTCCTTTCTCTTTAGCAAGGGGATTTGCAGGTTGATAAGACTTGGCTCAAGAAAGATGCAAAAATGGAGTGATGGAAAATTGGAAGAAGAGAAAGTGAAAGGAATGAAAGCATTTTCTTTTTCACTCCACGATTGTGCTTGGTAAGAAAGATCGAGAAGTGAATGGAAAGAAAACTACTGTTTTTTCATTCATCGCTCAGTAGGACTGAAGTGGGAGGAAAGAAAAATTAAAATCATATCTTTATAGCATCATAAAATTGTGAATGGAAATAAAAGGACAATTTAAAAAAAAAAAAAAACATATCAGTAAATTATCACTTTTCTTTATCCCTCCCCATTTATCTTCCATAATTTCTCCAAAATGAAAGG